TTGTCCTCGTACTCGTCTTCGTCGTCGTCGCCGTCCTAGCATACCATCGCCGCAATCCATAGCATCGCATAGCATAACATATTATGCCTAGCCCGCCGCGTTTGCGATAAACCATCGCAAACCCTTACATGGCATAGCAGAGCAAACCATAATATGTCATACCGCGTTTTCATAGCACCGCACGGCCTAGCATAGCGTAGCATGCAGCGCTTCCGAAATCACTGCGTAGCAGCTCATGCACTTGGGATACCACATCAACAACGACGTACCTCAACGCGGCACTGGTGGCACAGCATAGCATTGCTCAACGCAGTAGCATGGTTAGCATATCCTGACATAAAATTGCCACTGCTCAGCGTCCCATGTCGTGCCAAACCAGTTGATGACGATACCATTTTCAGAGAGCTTCGCGCGCGCGCGGCTCACGGAGGCCGACGCCGCAGATGACTCCAACGTCACGCACTGACAAGCCACGCACTGTACTGAGCTATGAATTGGAGCCGAAGGGCTCTTGCACAAAGCGCTCATACAAAATCACACTGCACCTACAGCTCTGGCGATTTGTATGGGGCAACCCCTGGCGAGCCACGCCACCAAGGTTCATCCAAAGCCTCGTTCGGGCTCCCGAAACCGTCGAAGAGCCCCGTCGTGTCTGGCGCCAGCAACCCAGCGGTCCTCAGGCGCCCGCGAGGGCCAGCACGCCAGGCTCGAACGCGACGTCGTACACGATGTACTGCCCAATGTGGCGATCCCTCCACACCAGCGTGACTGCAATCGGGTCGTCTGTTTGCGGCATTGTGCCAGCGCGCCACAGCGGCACAAACCACAGATCAGGTACACCTCGTCGCTTGTTCTGTGGAAAAAACCACGCGTCAAGGGGCTGGCGATCTTGGAGCGGAAGCTCAAGCCAGCCAGGGGCCCACCAGTGCCTGACGCCCTCTCGGGTCCCGTTGGGGATGTGAGGCATCTTCAGCTGCACGCGCAGCTGCCGCCATTCAAACTGGGACTGCGCACCACGGTGCATGCGATTAGGCTGCGGGCAATCCATGCGAAAGCCCGTGCGCCTGCGGTCCTCTCGTGTCTCGGGCGCGTCATGCAGCTCTAAACCTGCAGCCTCGCCATGTTCCCACTTCCCAGGCGTACAGAAGGTGCGTGGTGACCGGTTGCCCCCGTAGAACGTGGCGCGGACGGCCTCGATGGGCGGAGGAACCAGCGGACGGTCCTCCCGGCGGCGCTCCTCGAGCGTAGGCTGCCCCTTCGCGATGCAGCGGCCGCGGGGAGGGGTGGAGCGGCGCTCCTTCACGACCTGCTCTGCGCCGAGGGAGTTCGTCGTTCCACTTGAGGGCCTCGCGTGCTCCCTGACCGACTGGAGCGCGACATCATTGCGGCAGGGAGTGTCGGGACCTACACGGATCTGGGCCATGCTCTCTCGATCGATTTACACCCTTCTCGAGTCGAGCCCATAGCCTATGGCGCAGAGAATCTGCAGTTCTAAAAACAGATGGTGCTGCACAATATGATGGAACGCGACAGTACGTACTATGAAACGGCAGGATAGGTCATGCTAAGCTGTGCTTTGGCATGGTACGCCTAATCCAATGGACACATACTATGATACGATGTGAAAGTAGGTTTGGTAGAACCGTATATGAATGGATCGGGTGGGTTATGATCCCATGGGGTGAACAGGAAGCCTAGGGAAGAACGAAAGCACACATTATCGATGGTCCTCTCAAGTTGCCCAGGATGTCAGGAGCCCCCCGAGAGGGCCTGGAATGGGACCCCGCGAGTGCTCAGTTCTGGGACCTCAGAGGGGGAATGGGAGAAGGAGGATTGAGGGATCAGGGATGCAAGAGGGAAGGTGCACCGAGAGACACCGATGGACACCCAAATGGACCGAGAGCCCCTAATGAGCCCTGAACCATAGCGTAGCTCAGCAGTGCATAGCATATCATAACACTTCATGGCATAGCGTTTGCCCTGATGTGAAGAATGATAGTGGAATAATGTTTGTACTGCGGCACTCTCCACA